GTACTCATGAAATTTGATATGTTAACACTGTGTTCTGTACCAGTTCCGAAATGGTCCCAAACTAAACCCGGACTAGTCCCGAACTGGGCCCAAACTAGATCCGAAAAAGTACTTAACTAGTCCCAAACTGGTACCGAAGTAGTTCCAAATTAGTCTCAAACTTGTTTAGATCTACCACCGAACTAGATCTAAACTAGTTCCGAACTAGTTCGCAGCTAGGTCCGAAATGATGTCAATGATGTCACACTAGACTTGAACTAGTTCCGGACTAGTCACAAAATAGATTCAGACTAGTCCCAAACTGGTCTTAAAATAGTCCCGAGCTAATCTCGAACTAGGCCCGAACAATATCCGAACCAGTCTCGAACTAGGCCCAAACTAATACCGAACTGCCTAGTAGCAAAGAGTCTTTCCAACTTTGAGAAAGTCATTGCGACTATGCTATCTGGTTCTTGTTTGAGAGCAAAAAGGTAAATGGCTTATAGCAAATTTTATCCACAAGAACCAGGGACCTTCTTAGTCGAAAGCAAAGGCATGGCACCACCAATTTCAATGGTAAGAAAGAGCTCAACTGGTATTAGTTGTGGTCGACCCCAAACGTTCGCCGCAAAAAAGGTCGTCACGCCAGAAATCGTCAATATAACTTGTGGGATTACATATTTATATATGTATATTTATGGAAATACATCAATATATTACAATAGGAGAATGAAACTGCGTGAGGCACCTCAAGCTGTGGGTCTCTCAACTGAGTGAATATTTGGCAATCAAATAACTATACGCGCAAATCCTCTCACTTAACTATTAGCGGAACCGTGTGTCCAAAACCAAGGAGTGCTTGGGGGTATTCAACCGCAAAATTTCTTCTTGGCGAACGAGCAACGCCGTCGGCGCAGGCGACACAAAAGCTTATATCTTTAAGAATACTTGGCGGAACCATTCATGGTCGGCGAAAACACACCTTGGGTGAGAGGTGCGTGGGGTTGTATAAATGGGGTCCTCACTGGCACTGATCCCATTAAAACTATTGGATCAACACCTAATTTTAAAGCATTTCGATGACCAACAAGTAAATAAGATTTTTGATGAGTACACATTAGGGTGGCCCAAAAACAGTAAACTTGGAATTGTAATGCTCCCACCCCCCTAGGATTGTTTTACATCGAAAAAAGTAGACCCCTATTTTTCAATTTTGAAATCATAATCATTTTTTCATCGCAACTATAATTTAAACCCACAAAAACCTCGAAAAAAGCAGTGGGGAGCCAATAAAAAATCGTTAGTATTAAAAAATTTTTAAATAAACAATTGGGTATTATTATTGAAAGTCTCCTGAAGAGTGCCAGAGTTTTCTTATCGAAAAATATTTATTTTCAAGAATTCTACCCTTTTTCGACGAAAATTTATTATTTTTGTATATAAAAATACATGGAAAACTTTGAGCTCGTTGAGCGACCTCTAAATATTTTTAGATTTCAAAATAAAAAAATAGGAGTATACCTTTTTTCGATATAAAACAATCCTAGGGGGTGAGAGCATAAAAAATTCCGACTTTACTTTTTCCCACATACATTTTTGGACCACCCTAGTGTACATAGATAAAGAAACAGCAACCTTTCGGATGGTCGGGCGCAATTAGGTCTTTGGACTTCTTACGATGCACCAAAAATTAGGAGCGCATTACTTTATTTCCCTTGCGATCGCATTGAAATAATTTCAAACTAGACTCCAATGGTATTGCAGAAAATTTGATACCTGATGGACTGTTTAGGAAAAGCAGGTAGTCTGACCGATTTTATCGGAGTAAGTGGAAGTTTTTTTTTTACAACATGAATACCATACTTAGATAAATGAGTCTCATATTAGTTCAAAGAGCTCTGGACATAAACCGAGGGCTTGGTAGGTATTTCATAGACTTTTTCTGTAGTAAAAGTCCTAATTTATTAAATCTAGAATTTATTAACATTCCGTTTTAATGGAGACTTTATTAAGTGAGATGAGATTGAAAGTTCAGGGAAGAAGTCTAGTTCTCCTAGTTAATGCGACCAATGACGTCTGTTCTAACATACCTAATAGCCTAATATCTACCAATATATTGCCCATGACCCCCAAATGACATAAACTCTGTTCCGAGATCAGAGTGATTGAATTTAGTAGTGTTTATTGGTCGGCAAACTGGCGTAAAACGCTGAGTTAACTGGCCACATGGTAGTGAAAGTGAGCCTTCTGGAATGCATACAGCACATGCTTTGCTCAAGCTCATTTCAACTTCCAGCTCAAGGTTAGAGATGATTTGGAGAATGATGTTGGACCTCAACTTGAGAACTATGAGATATAATAATCGATATTTTTTATCGGTTTTGTTATAAATTTTCTTATCGATTATTTATCAATTTTGTTATCGATATTTTGATTGATATTCTTTATCGATTTTCTAATCGATTTTTGTTATCGATAGTTTTGTCGATTTTTTAATAGATTTTGCTACCAATATTATTATCGTTTTGGCTATCTAATGTTTATCGAATTTTTCATCGAGTTTCTTCCGATATTTTATCCAGTTTGTTATCGATTATATATCGGTTTTGTTATCGATTATTTATCGATTTTGTTATCGATTTTTTTATCGATATTTTTGTCGATTTTGTTATCAATTTTTGTTATCGATTTTCTATCGATTATTAAACGAATTTGTTATCGATATTTGTATCGATTTTGTTATCGATATATTTATCGATTTTTAATAGACTTTGTTACCGATATTTTATCGATTTGATTATCGATATTTTTATCGAGTTTCTTATTGATTTTGCTACCAATATACAAAATGGATATGTAACATAAGTTTCACTTCTCCAGTGTAGCCCAGGCGCACTTATTATACCCTTCATGAGCATGAAATGGTATTATAACTTTGGTCCGATGTTTGTAAGTACCAGAACAAAAAGAGATAGACCCATGAAAATGTATACTTATATGATCAGAACGTCGAGCTGAGTTGATTTAGCCATGTCCGTCTGTCCGTCTGTCTGTCTGTTTGTATGCAATCTAGTCTCTCAGTTTTCGAGATATCCGGATCAAATTTGGTAGGTGGGTGTATTTTTATAATGTATTAATCATTTGTCGGAACCGGAAGAATCGGACCACTATAACATATAGCTCCCATACAACTGATTGTTCAGATATGAGATTTTTCATTATAACTTCTCCATTTGTGCAGCTACGAACATGAAATTTTGCAATACTTGCACCCATTATCAACTTACAATGAAAATTACAAAGATCGGGTCACTATAACCTATAGCTCCCATACAACTGATTGTTCAGATATAAAATTTTTCATTATAACTTCTCCATTTGTGCAGCTACGAACATGAAATTTTGCAATACTTGCACCCATTATCAACTTACAGTGAAAATTACAAAGATCGGGTCACTATAACCTATAGCTCCCATACAACTGATTGTTCAGATATAAAATTTTGCGTTATAACTCCTCCATTTATATAGCTAGGAACATGAAATTCCGCACTGTTTTCAATAATTATCAACAGAAAACTTACAGTGAAAATAAGAAAGATCGGGTCACTATAACCTGCAGCCCCCATACAACTGATTGTTCAGATATGAGGTCTTTTATCATAACTCCTCCATTTATGCAGCTAGGAACTTGAAATTTCGCACCATTTTTGCTCATTATCAACGGAATACTTACAGTGAAAATAACAAGGATCGGGTGACTATAACATATATGTATCTTCCATACATCTGATTGTTCAGATATGGGATTTTACTGTAAAACTCCTTTATTTGAACAGCTAAAACCGATAAATTTCGTAAGATATTTTATAAATAATAATACAAAGTCTACTGAGAAAATCGTCAAAATCTATGCTGTATAAGCTTTATCTCCTATAGCACTGATTGTTCAGATACCAGTTTTTGCGATATATCTCCTTTATGTAGGAAACTAAACCCAATAAATTGTGTTACCGGTTTACATACCGATCACATAGCAGTGAAAATCACTTAGATTGGTGCCATATAAAGTATATCTTCCATACCTCTGATTGTTTAGATGCGATTTTTTATATAAGTATGTAACTCCTCTATCGATGTATGCTGATGTATTTAAAAGCAGTAATCTGTCAAAGTAAAATTTGCAGATGTTCATGAAAGGTATGAAGCCTTCGGCATAGCCGAAGACAGCGCTGCTCTTACTTGTTTTTTTTTTGTGTTTGCTCGGTTTACTTTAATAACTGATGTTTTGAGATGCACCTCGTTTGATTGAAACTTTTTTTACAGGGTATAGCAATAGTTTTAATAATAATTATTACATTCCAGTACATCTGTCTTATCTCTCTTTTCTGCGCGCAGTTTTCTCTCACTGGAAGCGAGCATGCGCGCTGAATGTAAACAATAACAAACCGGCAGTGGAATAAAGGAATTCACTCGAGCTAAAAGCATAAACAGGAAGCACATGGTACACACTAATACACAGGGTACACACATAAAGCAACAACCAAACACATTTGGGCATATAAAAGTACACATGCATACCTACACCAGTTCTCAAATACACCAAGGGGGTTGTGCTAAAAAGGAATGCGGTACAAAAAGATAATCACTAAATGCTGAAAACAGAAATAGAAATAAAGAAAAGCAGAGGCAGCAGATGCGAGCTTAATTATGTAGAACGCAAGGTAAAAGCAAAAACAAAAACAAAAAAAAAAACGAACAGAAGAAGAGGAAGAAGCGCATTACAGAACGCTCTACATTAAAAATAAAACGCTCGAGTGCCTCGCACTAAACACACACATAGGCACACACACACACGCAATAAAGGAACGACCGCAAGGACGACTCAGCAGCCGTCGACTCGCCAACAGTCTTTGTCAGTCGTTCGTTCACTCGGTCCGTGCGCGGGGCTGCTCTCGCTGCTGCCGCTTCAACCGCAATCGCTTGTAAAATGCTGAATCAATTGCAAACGCAGCTAAAAAATGCTACTAAAAAAATATTTAAAAAATCGTCGAAAGTTGAAAATTCTTTTCCTACTCATGGTCATTGTGCTAATTGTGGTGACTGTAGTTGTGCTGAATATTTCACCAAATGTAGGCTCCACTGAACGTGTGCTCGATGAGCATTTTATAGCGCGCATCTATGGCGGTAGTGGCGTTGGCATTGGCGGCGGTGGCGCTGGCGCTGGCAGTGGTCGCTTGGAGCAGCCACCCCTCAAGTCGCCCCGCCAAAATGGCATCATTGTGCCAGAGAAATATGATGAGCACAAGGTGAAAGCGCGCATTGCCCAGCAACGCCTGCAGCAGCTGAAGCAGGAGCAACAGCAGCAACGTAACGCCATTGAACCGGGTGAGGAGCACACCACACTGGATGCGGTCACCACGGGCGTACATATCTTCTATAGTGCGCCTGTCGCTTGGTATAAAACAAAAAAGTCACAACAGCCGCCAGTCGTGCCACAGCTGCAGTTGCGTGGCGCTGCCAAGGAGCTGCTGAACGATGTTTCCGATGCCGTCCAACCGCTGCCGACATCGACTGCGGCCACAGCCACTGTGAAGCCAGTGCGTATACTTAACACCGCTTTCTATCCGGCGCTGGGGTTGTATAAGCCCACCACCAACTTGCTGCAAAAGCATTTCGATAATATTCGCAATTGCGGCATTGGCGTACTCATACTCAGCTGCAGCGGCAAGGCAGGCGAGGTGGAACTCTATCAGCAGCTATTGGATTTGGCGCCCGCCTACAATTTGAGCATCACTTTCGAGATTAGCGTGGCCGGCAATCAGAGCGTGGAGTTTTTGCAACAACAACTGGAGGCAGTGCGTCGCTACTCCACCGCTGAGAGTTTCTATCGCGTGTATTCGTTGTCGCGTAAGCGTTTAGTGCCGTTGATTTACGTAAGCAATGCTTACAAGTTGAGCGAAACGCCAGCAGGACGTGCGCTGTGTCAAACGCATCCGGAAAGTTTGCGTCGCATTTTTGATGCATACTTTATTGGGCATATTAGGTAAGTTTTGGTTTGTGTAGGTATGTGTGTGTGTGTGTGTGTGAGTGTGTCAGTGTATGTGTAGGTTATTTAAAGACTAGTGGCCTTATACATAAAAAATAAAATAGATTTAAAGAGCTCTATAAAGTGACATTTTCATACAAATTTTCAATTTATAAAGCAGTTAAAGTCTTCTTTATTTTTTATGAATTGGGGTCAAGGAATTTATTAAGCAAATTGTTTTTAAATTCACTCATAATATAATGTCATGAAAAAGAATTTTGTTTTTGATATTTCGAATGTTTTTCAAGTAAAATTTTTTTGTTACTTTTTAATAAAAATATGGTGTATGCTTTACCAAAAACCACATAAATAGAACTGGCACACTTAAAGCTCTACCCAGAATTACAGCGGACGACGGCAAAGCGGTCGGCGGTATGTGAGCAGCCGTATAGTTGTCGCAGTGAAATACGTCAGAGTAATCACAATTCCAGCGCACGACGGCTTCCGTCAGTTGTCATTTTGATTTGAAAATGTTCATTAAAATTCAATTTTTTTCGGTACGTGCATGTATGCAGATCTGGATCTGGTATAAGTGGATGAAAACTTTGCCAAACTTTTGAAAATAAAAAAATTACTACAATCAACATTGTACCGTCCCTGCTAGGCGGTAAAAATAGAAATAAATTTAAATGAACCGAAAAACGTCGGCGGTAAAAACGCTGCCGCCGCAATTATGAGCCATTCCATATGCCATTGTGAGTTTTAATTTTGACAGCGGTTAACCGACGACGGTTTTAACACCGTCCACTGCAATTCTGGGTAGAACTTTATACAGAATTTAGAAAAATTCCACACATTTTTATGTAAATTTTCGACTTTTTAATCAGAATTTTTATAAAATTTTTGAGTTTGCAGTTACAAGGTTTAGAAAATTTTAGTAAAATAAATGTAAGTTTTTGGCGGCATGATCTCATCACATCACTTCATGTCATAATATTATTAATAATTAGACTGGTGATTAGTGTTAACTAGAGATGGTGAAAACGGCCCTTATTAGTTATGTCACTTAATAATGATTGGTGGAAAATGGAATTTTAACTTCGAAAATGCCTTTCCTATGGGGTTTAACATAGGAGAGTATACTGGCAAAAATTTCGGTAAGCATCCATTATTATTCACCATACCCAGCGAGAAAATGTAATATATGGTAATCCAAAAAAAAAAATCAGTAAAACAGGCGTTTTCACATTCGAAAATGCATTATTTTTCCCATGGCGATGTCTTATGAAAAGTGAGGCATTCCATTTTGCATTACCAGTAATGCAGAAATGAGTGTGATTTATTTGTGATATGAATTTTTTGCGACTTTTTGGATACATTACAATGCTGATTACATAATTAACAGTAATAGAATCTAGAACTCATTAGAAATACATTACATTATTTATCACGCATGCAATGCATTACTACTTTTCCTACTGGGTATCTCTTATTTCTATGGAACCCTGAATAAATACTTGGAAACGTGTCGAACTCATAGTAGAATGAGAAACAATTTGTTGGTGAATATGAATATGAAAAAAATAAACAAACTTTGGCAGTTTAAAGTCCAAATATATAAAAAGAAAAAAATCAAAGCAGCTGTTTTATTGCTATCACTTATTCAATATGCCTTAACCGTAAAGAAGAGCAACGCGTAACAGCGAATTCACACTAAACCAAAAAAAAATAAAGTTGCATTTAATTTGAAAAAGGTTTCGCTTAACCTGAAAAGGTTTCATTTAATTTGAAAATGCTATATATGAAAAGTAAAGTAAAAAACTAAATTTTTGTATTGCATCATAATCAGTCAAAAAGTGAATTTTGAATTTTTAGTTAGTTACGGCCTTTTGTATTTCAGCGACTAGGTGATATAAGCCCTTTCTATATTAAGGTAACGATATACACATAAGGAAAATGTTAAGAAACTGTTAATAAAAAAAAAAAAAATTTTGGATAAAGTTGCCAACTATTTAAGTAGAAATTTCCAAAAATTTGGATTAGACCTCGATTATCCGGGCCTCCATCATACGGGAACATCTATTAACCGGGATGCTGAATGATTGATTATATACCGCTGTTATCCGTATTAATTCACACACGACTAGAGTGGTGGTAGGGGGCGGTTGTGTTTCTCTCGGGCCCGAATTTTTAAAGGGGCCCGTATTTTTGTGAAAATTAAGTTGCAAGTGTTATCAGTTAAAATTGCTAAAATTTCGTCTATTTTGTTTATCAAAAACAGTTCATCAAAAAACTAATCAAAAGTTTAAGAAAAGTGTATTACTGTACGATGTAGCCACCTTTAGCGCGGATGGAGTTTGTCGGAGAATGCTTCACATGCTGCACGAGTGTGGTCTAGTGGTATTTTGTAGTGAACAGGGCGTAAAGGTAAACCAAAAAATCTTCTATTCAAAAAGTTTTTAAACCATGATTTGTTACCTTGAGCACAAAAGCAATTCGGTAGAAATCATTGGACGTTTCAATCAGACTCGACACCATCGCATAGAGTTCGAAAAAAAACTTCCCAGCTTCATTTCATCGCAACAATGACAACCATATTCATCGGAATTTTCCATTCTCAAGGCCTTAGTATCAACTAAAAAATATGAGTCAGTCAACGCCATGAAGATTGCTCTTCGCTGCCACTGGGACAAAATACGACCAGACCACATTCGTGCAGCCTGTGAAGCATTCCCGTACAGGCTCCATGCCATTATCTGCGCTAAAGGTGGCTACATGGAACAGTAATACATTTTTCTTAAACCCTGACTAGTTCTTATGATGAACTGATGAGTATGAGTTTAAAGCGAATAAATTTTAAAAGGAAAATAATTAAAAAAATTAAAATGTGTATTGATTTGGATGAAATATGAGCACGAAAGAATGCTACTCATACGCCATGTAACGGGTGATTTTTTTGAGGTTAGGATTTTCATGCATTAGT